TGCACAGAAATGGAAGACTGGAAAGAAACAGCGTGTCGTTCACAGTGGCTATTTTGAAATGCAGGCATGTTAGTAGGTTGAAAGCCTGTATCTTTGATTTTCCTCATGATAAATGATTAGTGAACAAATATAAAACTGGAGGGTAGTTTTGGTAGGATTGAATGCAGCCCTGCAACACAGTGTTCTCTAAATGAATTCCAATCTTCTAGAAGAGATGATATCTGCGTAGGAGCAGCGTAGGTTTATCCTGGCAAAGAATCAGTCTTGAAAATGGCCACAACACAAGCTCAGTTTTGCTGAACGTCAAAGAGTCAGTAGGGTTCATAGGATTCTGTCAGTAAAACAGCATGCATATTAGTGTTTACCCTCTTTCAGATTGACGGTTTCACCCTGATTCAATTCCCTGTAGCTAAAATTCAGAGGCAGTCTTTCTCTTTACTTTCCTGCTCCTCTCCCTGACCTTTCTTGATCCAGCGGCAGATCAGTCCATACTCATGAACCACCCTTGCCATACTCTTGTGCACATGTCCACACCAAGCAAAGCTCCCAAAGCAATTCCTGAGCCGCCTCACCAGTGTCCTGACAGTTTCTGTGTGTTTCTACCTAGCTTCCCCAGATGGCCTGATGGATGACCTTTCCTTGGAGAGTGAAGAGGCAAAGGGCCCCGTTTTCACCAAGGTGGTAAGCTGGCCTTTCTTTGTGTGAGACACAGCATTCATATTTTCTCTTTCAGTCGAGGTCAGATGCAAAAATCTCAGCAAGTACAATTTATGTGGTGGGGAGAATGTTTAGTGACTGTCTATTTTCAACTGATACTTGATTCCAAAGACACTGAGAAAAAAAAGCAGGATCAGTTAGTCTTCAGGCTAGTGAGCTTTTCCGCGGGCAGCAGTATTCCTCCTTGCCAATGATTTGGTACATGCATCCTGTAGGAAGATCTGATGCCTGTGCCCATGACTAAGTTTGCTCTGTTCATGCTTTGGGGTTCGCTGGCCTCTGTCACCCTTTCCCACCTGGTTTTTTCCCATCACCAAGATCACACAAGT